TAGATCTTTTAATTATGATTTCTAATATTTAAATTATTAAAATATCTTAATTTTCTATAATTTCTTATTTTTATAATGTAAATATATTTATTCTTTTGATTAGTTTAAATTTCAAACTACAAACTACTAACCACAAACTTCTATATACTAAGCACATCCTTAGAACTTAAGAATAACTTGTTTTTTTTTTTTCTTTTTTTTTTTCTGGGCATTTATGTTAGTTGAATTATAAAAATTGCAGTTCAAATGAAAAGAAATTATGAGTAATGGTAGATTAATATTGTTTATTTCTATTATTTACAGTGAGTATTTTTAGATATAAATAAAATATAATCTATATTTGTGACCAGGGTAAATTGAGAGAAGAGAAAATAAGACCAGTGAAGTTAGAAGGCTCCACCCATAAAAGGTAATTCCTACTTAATTAAGAGTTCTGGCCACTAAGTTAAAGTGTAGGAATCAAATATAATTTATATTTATTACTTAATTAAAAAAATTTTAGATATAGAACCACGGATGAGTGTTAGGTAAAACATTATCCCTTAAGTTACTCTAAAGAAAAAGATTCGGAGTAAACGATTATCCTCTTTTAGCTTTTTGAAATCTTGATGACTTGAGCTAATTTTTCCAAGACTTGGAAGTCTTTTTGGTCTTAAGTCAACTTAATTAATTAATGCCGAGCGTGCACGCAGGAGGGTTGGTTAATTTTAATTCTCCCTTTCACAAATCTTTTGCCCCACCATGGACAGGCAAATAAAACACCTTTCCCCGAAGTTACACTAAAGATAAAGATTCCGCGTAAGTGATTTAAAGCAGCCTATTTTTCTATTTCGATCATGATCACTCGAGCGCGTTTGCCAAGACTTGGATGTCTTTTTGGTCGTTGTTGCTTTAAAGTCAATTTAATTGGTGCTTTTATTGTCCTTTTGCCCCACCATAATAATAACACAGCTTTTACAGGTCTTGTGCTACTGTTGTGCAACGTGAAGACTGGAATACTTTGAAAAATGGCTTTCAATTTTTAGAGATAACTATGGTTCGTGGAAATTTCTTCTCTTTTTACCTATCATGGAAATTTTTGGTCATCATGATTATGGTTTAAATATTGTGTGGAAGATAAGACATTTAGATGATTTAATTTTTTTCTTTGATAACGGATGATTTTTAATTTTGGTTGCACATTAACATTATAATGGCAAATCTTAAGCTCTTGAACTTACCCCATTCTTCGACACGAGCCCCTAAACTATCTTTTTAGACTTAGAAGCCCTTAACCCTTCCACACGAGCCCCTAAACTATCTTTTTATTTTTTATTAAAATAAAAAATTTCAAAAATTATGTATCTCGATTTTTTTACAAACTATTTTTGTATTAGGAGGAGTTTTTTGATTAATTTTTTTCAATTTTTAAGAATTATGAATTCAATTAAATAAAAATATGAAAAAAAATAGAAGTATGAGACA